CCCGCGGGGGTGGCGGACTCGGCCGCGTCCGCGAATCGGCCGCGCTTGTCCGCCGCCGAGGGTGTTTCGTAGCTGGCCAGGGGTCAGCCGGAAGCATCAGGACCAACCCTCTTTGCTGGGCAATTTGCTTTGCCTATCCTCCAGCCCCCTCCCCTTCAAACACCGGCAGTCTCCGCTCAATGCCGCTTGGGGGGCTAGGTGGCAGGCACCAAGCTTTTCCCAGGAAGGAACATGAGGCCGATGGAGATTGAAGCCAAGAGGCCCAAGACCTTCTGAATGCCACTTGTGAACTGAGCTAGGCCACTGGACAAGCGAAAAAATAGGATACATACACTGTTAGGATAGATTTGACAATGGATGGTAGCCCTCGACCGGTCGGATGCTGACCCGTTAACCATCCTTAGCTAATCATTGCCGCTGACCGGTACGCACCCCACTGGTCCCCTGGCAAAAAATCCAGGGTACAGGGGGGTCGCCAGGGGTCCTAACATGCCCCAAAGGCCCAAACACGTCCCACCAAACCCCAAGCAAACATCCCCAAAGCACACCCCATCCCTGTTGACCCCCTGGCAAAAAATGCAGGGTTTCGGACGCACAGGAGGGTCATCAGGGGTCCTAACGCGTCCCAAGGGCCCAAACATGCCCCACTAACAAAGCAAACATCCCCCAAGCACACCCCAACGACCCCCGTAAGGGCCATATCGCAACATAAAACACCTCCCCAACACCTCCACCCGTCCCCCTGAACACCCCCAACCACCCCACAAACAACCCCCAAACAACAAAACCTAGACACAAATTTTACACCTGCATATTTGGGTTGCCCAATTGAAACTCGCGCTACAACAGACCCACCAACTTCAGTCCTTTTGCCTTTTGACTCTTTTGAGACTCTTAACCTGATGTGGCCGCCCTTGTTCCAGAAAGCGTGGACTACCCTCTGCTGACCGATAGGCCCGGTAAACCGGTTGCAGAGAGGGAGAAGAGGAGAACAAACGACGGGCTGTGTCAATCTGTTCCATCGGAGTTTCACCTATCATTTACTGCCAGACAGAGCTGCCCGGCAAACCATAGGCAGAATGTATATTCATGTATACATGTAT